TTACTATTATTAGTTATCAACTTACAATTCTGCCTGATATTAATCTATAAATAATAGAGAGGGGGTGGGTGAGAAAGCGGTTTGGCAAAACACAGTATTGGACTGAGATACCAGCTGGTGAAAACTCAGCCATGTGAACGGCAGAGAGCATGTGGGAGAAAAGAGTTTCACTTCCCCTCTTTTTATATATTTTTGGCCTCTAAGTCACACTGAATTAAGGGTGTGTGTGTGGGGGGTAAAGTAGGAGATTGATCAACTCCGGTAAACATCTTCAAAGATTGTGAACAAATTAAGTATTTAACAATTCAGCCTTATAGACACTTACCTGGAAATAAACCCTGTTTTATTTAATGGGACTTACAGTACATCTGACACATCAGTGTCAGATATAGACACATAAAAGATTGTGTTACTGTCTGCAGAGATACACAACTGGAATAATCCCACTTTTAAACGTTTAAATTTATGGCACCAGGGCTAATTGTACAGTAGCTGGTATTTCGCAGGGGGTGTGGTCCAGGTTTCACTTTGAACTTTACAGGAGCTATCCAAGGTGCTGAAGGAATGGCTCCTTCGAAATTTGGGCTAAAACCGGGAAAGGATTTCTTATCCTGCCAAATCATCCACTAAGTCGAACCAACTGTTTTGAGTGAAATACTGAACTGGTATCATCAACATTTTATCACGCAGGGGACCTAATGAGAAGGATCATTGTGGATAATTATGCAATTATCAGTGTAATAAAAGCAGGCTGTTTTGTTCAAATTACCCTGAGATCGGAAGAATCTTTTCTTTAATGGCTTCTGGTGATGTTCTGGTCCATGTTTTAACAGGCAGGACTTGACGTGAGGTGGCTGGGATTCTTCCTTCTCCAAAATGGCTCCCAAGGCAGCAACGTTATTTTTCAAAAGAGGCAGGTGTCAGCAGACGTGGGAGAACCACGAAGTTTGCCGATGTGTTCCTCAAAACATTGGGGGGGAAAATATCCGCCCAGCCCCAAATCTTGAAAATAGAGCGCAGAATGGTCAGTGACTGTGGAATACTGATTAACTAGAAGGGCAGGGGTTTTAAAATGGGAAGATGTGAAATATCCCTGGAGAGGGAATAGCTGGTTTCTCACTCTGGACAAGAGTACTCTAAACATTTTTTTCAGAGATCCTGCTTCTGAATTCTTTACTCTTTACTTGTTTAATGAGAAGGAGACTCGGAGCTCAGTCTTGGAACAAAACATTACCATAAAGAGAGCAAGTACCTTCAAAGGTTTCCTCTTCAGAGAACGCAAATTTTAATTTTTTAAAAAAAGACTGCCGTTTCCAGAATATGTTCCTTAATGTCGTAGAGCAGTGGTCCTCAACCTTGGGCCTCCAGATGTTATTGAACTGCAACTCCCAGAAGCCTTCACCACCACTTCTGCTGGCCAGGATTTCTGGGAATTGAAGTCCAAGAACATCTGGAGGCCCAAGGTTGGGGAACCACTCTCATAGAGTATTCTGGGAATTGTAATTTTGAAAAAGTTCCCCGTTTCTGGTTGCCTTCCTTATTGTCTTTCTCCTCATGATGTGCCCCTCCCTCGTTTCTCCCCACAAGTGGGTTTCGTGACTCGGTGGGCGCTTCGTCCTGTCTCTCAGATGGCTGCCAAGCACCTTCAGAGAGTGCCAGCTTTTTTTGGGGGGGGGGTTGTTTCTTTTATGTATTTGGTTTTTCGTTTCATCTCTAGCCTGCCTTTCTTCCACCGAGGGGACCTAAGGCAGCTCGCAGTGATTACAACGAGTTGGACCAAAACTGCAATAAATTACAAGGTTAAAAAGCAGTTAAACATATAGTCATTTTAAAGGTTACTTAAGGATTTTAAAATGTTTAGAAGAGAAAAAGAGCATAAGCCCAGCACCCAGGAGGAACGAAGTTTTTTTATTTTATTTTTTAATTTTTATAAAATACCTACTACTACAGAAACAGTCTTTTTTTAAAAAGAATTTATTTTTATAAAATACCTACTACTACAGGAAAAAAAACCCTATATAAAACACAAAACAAAACTATACAATAACATACAATTCCCCTTGTGCAGCCATCACCCTCAGGACTAGCATTACGCTTCTTTCCATCCATTTTCTCTCCAAAATTTCATTGTTTCTTCTCTCGGCGTATACCCCCTCCCTCTCTGAAATACATGTTCTAAGAATACATTCCATATTTTCTTAAAATCGTTATTTTTCATTTGGCCTCTACTTATTTTCATATCGCATGTCAGTTTATCATTAATTGCAATATCCCATAATTCTCTATACCATTCCTCCAAGTTAACTTGATTTTCATTTCTCCAATTCCTTGCAATAATTAACCTTAACGCAGTCTTAATTATTAAAATCCCACCTAAAGAGGAATGTCTTTAACTCTTGGCAGAAGAATGCAACTAACATCCTGAGGGAGAGCATTCCCACAAGCCTGGGGGCAGCCGCAGAGAAGGCCCTGTAAGTTACAGGCACAAAAAAGAGGCTTGCTTTAAGAGAGGGATCAGGATTTGGTTAGGAAAGGAAATCAGTTCAAAAAGGGTTGATGGGGTGGGTTGAGCATCTTGTGGGCCCTCATGCTTATAGATCTCCTTGGGCAATAGAAACCTGAATTTCCCATAGATATCCCTTTGGGGACCCTGCAAGAAATTAAAGATAAGAATGTGCAGACTCAGCCATCCTGTGTGTTAGGTTTGAGAGAAATGTCCAAATCATTTGGATTCTTCTGCATTTAACCATAGCTGCTTAAAATTTCAGTACACTGGGGTAAAAGATGGAGAGCAGCGATTGAAACTGTTTGTCTTGCGCGTAACTTAATGGCAATAGGTTTTAACATTTCCAGGCTAATCTCTTTGCCGTAGCAAACAAACTGACTCCATTAGCAACGTAAGGATCCGTATTTGCAAATCATTCACAGATTTACTCGAAGTTGTATCAGACATTCCTTTGAACAAAAGTACAAATAGCCCTTTATTCGGACTCAAAAATGTGTCACGTATACCATTCTTTATATTGGCTGATTCCCTACTTATCCAAAGAGGCTGTAATATAAATTTGCATATTTCTCACCAGGATTATAAGTGATCAGGGTCTGGAACCTTAATGGCATAAAGCCTTATCTCAAATCTGATTAACTCACAGAATTAAAATAATGAAGTGAGATAGCTCTCATTGTTTGCAAAAATTTTGCCACTCACTAAATCTACCTTGTTGAGTCATTTCCACATTGTTATTAACATCCAGTAAACTGAGAATATGGAATGTCTGCCAGTCGACTACAGCTCCCATTGTCCTTCACTTTTACTAGGGTTCCCTGGGGTTGGTGAGACTTGTAGCCCCAGCAATATCAAGTGGGTTACAGGTTCCTCACCCTCTGCTATAAATATAGAGATTTGCATTGTCATTTCAATAAATGTGCAAAAATGGATCAGAGTCGTTGTGTGATTCTGGGGTGATTTGGGGGCAGAGCAAGGAGGGATTGTTTTTCCCTAGGGTGGAAATCCCATTCAGTATTCATAGGGCTAAAGAGATGGTCAGTAATTTGAGACAGGGGAAATGAGAAATAATAAAATAAACGGAGCTGCTGTCACTGAGGGAGGAGGAGAAGGATAGGTGAAGCTTGCAAGGAAGGCCACCGGTTAGCATTGAGACTCCAATCACACAGATGCTATGGAGGGATCAGATGGAGGTCACTGTGCCCCCCAAGCAGCTGTTTGGCTACCCATTTCACGCAGGTGCATAATAAAGTGAGGAAGTCATGTGGCTCTGTAGATTAGCTATTGTGTTGTGGAATTTGTGTTCGTTTGTTCTCAGCATAGTTTCCGAAATTATGGAAATAGTATTCTTAAAGTTATTAGGATTGAGTGTACGTATGCGATTGAGGAAAGATGATTCATGGTTGGGCTTTGAGTGGAGAGGTCCCACAATAAGAGCATTCGGGTCTGAGCTCCCCCCGCTGCCGAACAATTTTCTTCATCTTTTTTTATTTATTTGTTGCAGTGGTGCAAGTAGTTTTTGTCTTTGTGTGGGGATTGTTGTTATTTTGCAGGGATCTGTAAACAAACAAATGACATCACAAATCCAAATAAGGAGCACGTCCTGGAGTTTCTTAAAGAGGTAAAAAGGTTGGGTTAGTCCCAATCTGTGGGCCCTTTCTTTGGGTGCAGACCAGGTCAGAGGGGTTTCACACATGAGTAATATACACACTTTCCTGGTTTGGGGAACATTGGTTTTTTTGGGAATGCAGGTCTAAAAATCCCCCCCCAGTCAGCCTAGCCAAGAGGAAGCAGCTGCTATCACATACCTTGTCTTGACCTTTGGGGCAGAAGGGTGGTTTGGTGGAAAGGTAAATAGTAAAGAAAACTAAATTGCGTTTCAGATCTCCTTTGACTTTGTTCCGTTTCTGACGTCTCACCTTCCTGCAGTATAAGCAGGGACTGCCCAGCTCCCTCATGGTGGGCATGCCGACTGTCCAGCTTCTTCCTCTCCCACAAGTGACCCTTTGGAAAAGGCCGAAGTAGCCTTTGGTTTTAAAGAGTTTTGTTTTTATAACTTTAAGGTGTTTTCATTTGAATTGCATTTTAATCATACGATGGAATTTAATTCTATTTTAATGTTTGTGATTTGATCATATCGTAATCTTCAGCTGATTTGTTCTGTAAGTGGCCTGGAGCTCAAGTTCTGGGAGTGGGGGGGAATACAAATAAAAAAACAAACAAATAACTTTTTGAATCCCATTAGGATTTATGTGGTTCAATTGTAATCGGTGCTATCACCCTATAAAGCTTGGATACGTTATCATTTTAGACTATCCCCCCCAAAAAAGGTGGTTGGAGGATTCTGACTGTTGTAATGCCCACCCAAAGGTTATTTTTCTGTGCTTTGGCATCTGAGAAGGACTGATCTCTCTGCCCTTTTTTTCTCCAGCCTACAAAGGGGATAATGGTGGTGGTTTTATACTCATTCAGATTCTGGTTTCATTTTTCGCAGATCCGGCACAAGTGACCCTTATTGTATCATCAAAGTGGACAATGAAGTGGTGGCCAGGTAATGAATGTGAGGGCTTGGAGATCCAGAATGTCCTCCAGGTCCTTTATTTGATGATGATGATGATGATGATGATGATGATGATGATGATGATGATGTGGTGCTGTCTAACTTATGGCAATCCTTGTAAGGGTTTTCTAGGTGTAGAGCACACAAAAGTGGGTTACCAGTAGACTTTGTCTAAAAGAGCGGGATAGAAATCTAATAAATAAATAATAAATAAATAAAAATAAATTCCCTCCTTCTTGGGACACTCTGTGACTGTGCAGCTTGCCCAAGGCTACACAGGCTGGCTCTTTTTACTTTTCAGGAATCAGACTCTTGGCTTATGGCTCCACGGACAGGTAGCCACCTTACTAAGCTACCCAGCCATCCTGCATTTATCCTGGCTATTAGTTTGGAACCAAGCACCATGCAACTTACAAAGCCTTTGTTATCCATATACAACAGTAGCGAGGATATTCTTTCCATCCAAGGACTGAATTCATTTTCAGATACTGTAAGTTCTTGCGGGGAGCAGCTGCATTCCAGTGGAGGGTTGGGCCAAAGGGCCTCTCATGCCAGCACGTTGCTTCTCAAAGCCACCTTCCCATGAAATGAGTGTCCAGAGGACTTCCGTGGCAGTTTTGAAGCCCGGTGGGCAGCTTGGCAGCCATTTAACAGGGGATGTTGCTTTGAGGCGTCGGAAACCTTTTACTCTTCTTCATGTTGTGGAGAGCGAGCCAGATCCTCTGAGCCTCGGGCAATCCCCATCTGCAGCTTTGACACTCCCTTCTCGTCTCATCCTTCCTCAAATATTTGCTCAGGAGAAAGTTAATGACATTTCAAGAGGTCTGAAGAGTCGGCAGATTGCAGGGTAAGGATTTATCTGTGCACCAGTAAACTATTAACTGGCCGAAGAATCAAGAGGGTTGTGGGAAGTCGGCTTCGTTGGGTAGAGTGTGCTTTCCAAATGTGGTGGGTCAAAGGGTACCAGAATTGCCCAGTCACCTTTCTGGAGATTGTAGTCCAAAAATGGCACTTTTCTAAGCTCTGATTGCTTTGGAGTCATCCATAAATGCCAGCATGCTGTCAGGATAAGGCAAACATGACGAGACTATACGACCACCACCAAACGACAAGGGTCCTCACCTAAGTGGAAAGCAGAGTTGGAGTGAAGGCTGAGATTTGTCTGGAAACAGGATGAGAGGAACTTAGAGCAGCCATTTAATTTTCCCAGAATGCCCTCATGTGGCATCACGTCAAGGCATTACGAGAGACTGAAATGGAGGCTCCTTCTGCCTGATCTTATGGGGCTGATCAGGACAGACACGAAGCATGGCGTTGACACACACACACTCCCAACCGTACTTTTCCCTTTTTGAACTACTGGTTTGGGAAGATGAGAAGGAATTTAACCTGGAGTGGAGACACCTTTCATGAGCATCGGGTGGGGGGTTGCTGTCTTAGATCTCTCATGATCTCTCTCATCCAGTGATGACAGAGACTCTCAGACTTTTAGATACAAACCTCAAGATCTTTGGTACAGCTTGGGCAAATAATTGTTTAACCCAGGCTCCCCTGATCCCCCTGTCAAAGTGCTGGATTATGGGCGTTGCAATCTTAAAAGCTACTTTTCCAAATGCCGGTCTTGCGCTGGGGCTTTGCTGAGTGAACCCCTCCTTTGAATCGCAGCGGGCAGCCCCTCCTAACTGCAAAAGTACGGGGTCCCTCCTTGCCATCTGCATTTGACACCACACGATGTATCAACACCGTGCTCACATCAAAGCGAAGCGAGCACAGTTATTATTATTATTATTATTTTACTTTTTGCTTTTCAACGACTGAGATGGGGGGGTGATGTGAGAGGAAATGGAAATTAAATTAGAATTGCCTGTTACTTCACCCCCTGAAGTGTGATTTGCGCTGGGAAGATTTGCTGTTAGAAACCCAAAACAGCCACGGAGAGAGGGGAGCAAAAGTGTGAAGCAGCTGGAAAATGAGGAGGAACTGTGTGTTTCAATTTCAGCATTTTTAGCATTGGTTGATATACAGAAGCATCACTGATGCAATGAGTAGAGGGGAGACGTTCAGAATTCAGGGACTCTGTGTCCCATAATTCGGACTGAGGGGGAGTTGCACCGAATTATGGGATTGGGATTCCTTGAACTCCCAAAAAATGCTACCGCTAATGGCAAGATACATGTGGTGTAATACTCAAGAGTTCCGGTCTAGGATCATGGAGATCCAGATCACTACTGAGCCCTGAAGCTGATTGGATGGCCGAAGTGACCTTGTCTTTCAGCCTGCCTTACCTGACAGGACTGTTGTAAGACTGAAGCGAAGAGGAGGAAACCTATGTATGCCACCTTGAGCTCACTGAGGAAAGATGAGGTAGGATGAGCTAGATAAATACAGTGGTGCCTCGCAAGACGATTGCCTCGCAGAACAATTAATCCGCAAGACGATTGTTTTTTTGCGATCGCTGTTATGCTTCGCAAGGCGATGTTTTCTATGGACGATTTTAGCAAGATGACAATTTTTCCCATTGGAACGCATTAAATAGATTTCAGTGCATTCCATTGGGGAACCGCAGTTTGCAAGACAATGTTTTCACTAGACAGCATTTTTCACATAACGAATTAACATCGTCTTGCGAGGCACCACTGTACCATACTTAAGTAGATGCCTGCACTGCAGAGTTGTCAGATCCTGCTGCCTCTCACAGCCTTTCCCTACCTGCAATATAGGTGCAATTACCAGTAGATTACACTACAAGACTGTTATGAACCATGGTCTCAGCCAGATGCACACCACACTGGCAATAACCCTTTGCTTCTACTTGTCCAAGCGTTCACTCCAGTGTATTAGAAAGACTATCTGACCTGGCTCGTTTCCTGTGTTTTTCCACTGCCTTCAGATGGTCCGATCCGACATTCCCCTTGCAGTGAGAGAAAGAGAAAAATGTCTCAGCTTTAACCCACAAATCTCACTGTCACCTGTCAAGTACATTTTAAAGTCTTAGGTTTAGCTAGCGGGTAACATTTCCAGTCCTAATAGATCCAAGATCTGCCTTCTTTCCAAGGACAGGACTGCAATTACAGAGTAATGGGTCCTGAGAGAGGGTGTAAAAAAATCCAAACCATGCGGCCGAGAGGCTTAAGACCACAGCCTCCAGAGCACTGTTGTCAACTCTCACTGACACATACCACCAATTTTTGGACTCTTGTCTACAGGTTTTCTGCACTGCGGGTTATGCTAAGCCTGAAGAGGTGGGATATTTCCCCACGAAAGCTTGCAGATTCTTTGATTATTTTTTTTAGTGGTCCAGTAAAAAGCATCACCCACGCTTACGTTTGCGTAATCTTGGGGACCACACAACCTTTTCCTTGTTCTGCTGAACCCTGTTTAGCAGGATTCCTTGACTTGCAGTGTAACACGTCCAGGGGCAAGAGGGAAGCAGAGGGGAGGGAAGACAGGTTACATCAGCCGGGTTGCAGGCATCAGCCTCTGTGGCTGAAGAGTGTGTGAAGCCTCTGCATTGGCCAGCCAACGTGTGACACAATATCGTAGAGCCACAACTCTTATCGTGCCTCACCATCAACCAGCCAAGCTGGGGCAGAGGAGAAGTGGAGCCCAACAGCCTTTAGAAGACCATCCATTCCTCCTTCTCAGAGTAAACGGGTATAAACCAGGATTGGGCAAAGGGATGCTTTCCAGATGTTGCTGGATTGCTGCTCCCATGACCCTTCCCTGTGGGTTATGCTAGCTAAGGTTTCTGGGAGTTGCAGTCCAGGAACATCTGGAATGCTGCAATTTTGCCCATTTCTGTTGTAAAGGGCCAAGGACTTGTGGCCACAAAGATCACACCCTTCAGGCGTTGCTCTCTCCCTTCTCTTTGCTCTGCAGGACGGCCACAGTATGGAAGAATCTGAACCCTTTTTGGGGGGAGGAATTCACCCTGCACCTCCCGACGGGATTCCACCACCTCTCTTTCTACGTTCTGGATGAGGACACTATAGGGTAAGTAGGGTGGCTGGAAGAACAAGGGGACGGAGATGCCAGAATGCTCTGTCTGATAGTTTATTATTGCTATTGATCATTATAGCGAATTATTATTGCCATTAACAACTGCATGTGTTGTAGTTGTTACTGTCATCATTGTGATAACAATAATAATGTTGTTATTAATAATATTGTACAAAGTAATGTGAAAACAGTAGGTCCTTGACACAAGAAGATTCCAGTTAGATGATGTGGTATGCTGTTGGTGAAACCAGGCCTGGCATCATCATAAACTATCTTTGGACAGTTGGTGGGGCCACAGCCAGGCCTGCCAATGACTTTTGCCCATGGATTCCCTTCAAATGACACCCCCCTCTCCACCGCACACCTGCCCTAAAGTTGTCAGTTCTGGACTCATTTTTCTGCAAGAAAAGAAGAATTTGTAATTTGTACAGCTTGGAAAAATAATGGTTGGGCTAAAACTCTCATGATGTCCCTATCAGGCAGGAGGATTATGGGAGCTATAATCCAAAAAATGCCACTTTTCCAAACTCTAGCCTGGGGCTGAGGCTTTACTGAGCAAACTCTTTCTGTGAATCGCAGTGAATTAGCGCTCTGAATTGCAGAAGTAATAGGCGTGCGAGTATGTCTTCTCCTCTCGTGCAACAAACAGACTTTCCGCTACCTCCCAGCCTGCAAGGTTATTTTTTTTCCTAGGTGAAAGATCTTGACACCTGCAAGATAAGCAAAATAGGATATGGTGCAATCTGAGTTCTCATGCTTCCGAGAGCATTGTCTGTGCAATTTTTGCCATGCTTCCGACAGCATTGTCTGTGCAATTTTTGTAAACCGTATAAGCTGCACAAGCTACAACCATCGCAGCCTCGTTAAAAATGGACATTTCAAAAACCAGAAGCCTTGGATGGACAATTTGTGTCATTTTGATCACTTGACCAGCCCTTGGGTGTTTGCTGTATGTGTGAATGTCTACTGCTTCACTAAGGGAGAAGATACTAGTATTGCAGAGAGACATTCTGTGTAAATTGGGAAAACATTGGGTGTGGGAGTCATCCTCACACTGAAAATGAGAAGTCCCCTGGGGGTGAGCCATTTCTCTGCAGGCTGCCTCAGCATTTTGTCTCTCTGAGATCACACGCCCATGGAGTAGTAGCTCTTTCCGTTGTCCCTGATGCCCCGGAGGCAGGAGGCATCAGCGATATTAAAAGAGTTAAAGATGGTGGCCCTAATCAAGACTGTTTTCTTTTTACTTCCTCTGCCCTCTGCAAAGCAAAGGAAGTGTTTATTTTCCCAATATCGTGCAGTGGTTGGCTTCTTCAGCCATTTATCAGTGTGGCCAATTGAAAGAGGCAAGAACGGGGCCATATAGAGTCGATTGAGATCCAGTGTGCCATTTGGATGTGAGGATCGCATCGGATGGCATAATGGACCTCTACCTGACCTTAAGCAACTGTATTGAGTCCTCATCAGCCCACTGGCTTCACCCGATTGGTTGCAGAACTTGGAAATGGCACCTTTTTAAGACTACATCACCCAGAATCCCCTAGTAGCTAGACGAACTGAGTACTTGTAATCCAAAGAAGTTATTTTTTCCAAGGTCTTTCATTTCAGGCAGCAGGAATGCCTTGAGCCAGCCAAGAATCGCAGCTTGAACCACCTTCCTTGTTATCTTCTTGCAGGCATGACGATGTGATTGGTAAAATCACCCTCAGCAAGGAAGCCATCTCGTCCCATCCACGGGGTAGGTGCCGACAGATATCCATCCTGGGGATGGTCACAGGTGGGGGAGGGCCACATTTTTAGCCTATCTTTCTCAAGAAGAAAGGCAGGAAAATCTCAGGATTCAGCCTTCATTTAATATGCCCTCTTTCCCAATGTTGTTCCGGCCATATTTATACACCAGGTTAGCTGTAGTCCATAACTGGTGAACATAACAATCAACATGTTCATTGAAAGTCTTTAGTTGAGCAAGTGGACATTATGTTGAGTCATGTCCCCCTCTGTATTTTTTGTTTGATTTGGGTTTTTCGTTGTTGTTTTTGTCCCTCCCCGATGACCACCTCCACTAGAAGCATGCTGTTGAAATGTGTCTCTTTTGAAAAAAGACAAACGCCCATCTCTCCTTCCTTTTCCTCACACTGCTAGGCAAACCTACTGGTTTCTATAGTACAGAGTCACCAGAGTCAGCCACTACTGTTTCGGCTACGCTAAAAACTGCACCAGTGAAAGGAGCTTAGATGGGTGAAGACCTCTTTCTTCTTCCCTTCTATAGGGCAGAAGATGTTCTGGGACTCCATCCTTCAGGTCTCTATGGTGTCGGAGGACAGTCTGGCACCCTTCTTCACCACAGAGAGCTGTTAAGAGCTTTTTCTGTAATGTCACCTCTAGGAGTGACAGGAATCTCTACACAGTAGATAAATAAATAAATAATAACAGCCAGGTCACTTTCCCCCTAGTGTGTTGGAGGGCCCACTGTGGGCAAGCTGATCTCCCCCCCCAATGAGAATGTTGGCCCTCAATGTTGGGTTGTGCCTGAGAGTCAGATCTAAGGTGGATCACGTCATCCACCTGGACACGCTATTGCTAGGTCATTTACATTTTAAAGAGGAAGACCAAAGAGAGGATGACGAAGAAAAAGGCAAGGACTAAAGAGGGTGAGAAGGAAAAGAACTGGCTAAGAGGAAGAGTGGAAGAGAAAGCAGATCTCGGATCCCAACTCCCACGACTGAGGGTGCCATCAGACGAGGAAATAGCCTGCATTTTGGACCACTTCTGTCATGGCCCGGTGCAAAACCAATTCCTGGTGATCGCACAACCTGCCGGCAATAGCAATCCAGCCTGGTGCTGATCTGTGCACAAGCTGAACCTTTTTGGTCCTGCAAAAGGGCCATTCCATTTTGGGGGATGGGCTGGTTTGGCTATTTCTGGTACAATCAAACAGCATCCTTTCTCGTGGTTGGAGAGATGAAGTCTACTATGATAGAATCATTCCACCGTCCATAGAGGCCCCTATTTTTATTTGTTTTGTTTCATCTCTAGTTTGACAAAAATTCCCGGGAATTTGCTCTCTGCTTTGCAGAGCCTTGCTGACCACCGGTGGCCATTCTGGCTGGTGTTCTGGGGGTTGGGGTTCAAAAAAAGTAACATTTTCAATTTCTGCCATCTTATGGAATTTTGCTTGGACTAACGAAGGACTGCCCCTAATAACGACCTTTGGATTCCCGCCCCCCAACCAGACAGCAGGGTGATTTGCTTTTTTGCATAATAAACCAATGTTTCTAGAGCCTAGCGCCCCCTGGTGCTAAAATGAATGGATGCTTTCAGCTGTAGACCCACTGGCTGATGCTCTGTGGTGCCGTCTAGCTGAATATGCCATATTTCTTCAGAATTTTTTAGAATTCCTTCCTGCCCTGGATCGATGGTCATCCTTTCCATCACTCCAGCCTATGCTTCCCTATTCCCGACTCAGCTTCCTCCATGTTGATGGGATCGACATGGAGGTCTGATGGTAGGTCTGATCCTATTTGCAGGATCAGACCTACCATTAGGAGCAAGGCAACCACTGACTCAAGTGGCTGATACACAGTATGCCCACCTCTGCCTTAAACTGAACTTGATTCTGGTGGAGGACCTTATTGGCAGGCGTGGGGGACTTGCAAGTAGCACCATGCTGTCCGGTCAGACGTTGCACCAGTGACTTGACTTGGACTCGACTCAGGTCTTTTGTTTTTAAGTACCATATTTTTCCGTGTATAAGACTAATGGGGGACTTGCAAGTGGTGCCACGCTGTCCGGTCGGACTTACGTGGCACCAGTGACTTGACTTGGTCTCGACTCAGGTCTTTTTTTAAAAAGTACCACATTTTTCCTTGTATAAGACTATACTTTTGTCTAAAATCTTTAAACTAAAAATTGTGGGTCATCTTATACACGGAAGAAAGCTGAGGAGCAAAAAAGAAGTGAAAGGGGAAAGCAGGGATCAAAGTGATCCTGCAGGGCTTTGATCCTTGCTTTCCCTTCCACTTGCTAAGCCTTAGCAAAAGGAAAGCAGGGATCAAAGCACTGCAGGATGGCTTTGATCCCTGCTTTCCCCTCTGCTTGCTAAGTCCCATGGGGGTTAGTAAAAAGAGAGGGGAAGGATCAAAGCAATCCTGTGGCTTTATAAGGGGGAAAGGGATCAAAATGATCATGCAGTCGTGGATTGCTTTGATCGCTTTCCCCCAGGGTTAGAAAAGTGGGGGGAGGGGTGTCTTATTTGCTTTGATCCCTTTCCCCCAGGGTTAGAAAAGTGGGGGGAGGGGTGTCTTATACATGGGGCGTGCTATACATGGAAAAATATGGCACTTACATTTGATGTGCAACTCAAGACCATTTTTCTGAGTCATGGTACTTAAATTTGTTGTGCAACTCAAGACCATTTTTCTGAGTCACGTTTCAGGTCCCTACCTGCTCCTGCCACCACCATCCTCAGAAGCAGCAGGCCTGGGTTCCCTTCCAGCAGCCGGCTGCAGCCTCTACCCACCAACCTGCCACCCAGCTGATGGACTGGCGCATGCGCAGAGGCAGAGATGGGCTCTGGGAAGGGCCGTCAGCCCACTGTCTTTGCACCTATCAGCTGGGTGGCACATGCACAGTCCAGTCAGCCCACTGTGCACCTATCAGCTGGGCGGCACAAGCGCAGTCCAGGCCTTGGGGGTCGCAGTCCCGAGCCTCAAATCCCAAGTCCTGGGTCCCAAGTCAGGGTCTTGAACCCACGGAGTGGACAGGGAAAATGACTCAAGACTCAGACTGAGATGTGGGTCTCGGGCCCCAAAGACTGGCCAACATACTGGCTTTATGTGGCATGTGTCTACCACACCTTTTCACAACTAGATTCAAGGTGGTGGCTATGACTTTCTTCTTCCTCATTTGGAATTCCTCTCCATGAAATGGTCCTTTCACTCAGTTGCCCAACAGAGTCAGGGTGAAGGCGATTCATTTCGCTTCCCCTCCCTTCGTGATTTCATAGAACGGAGTTGGGCACCGACGGTTGGCGTAGCCCCTGAGGCTCTGCCCGGGGGTTGGAAAAGATTTCTGGTGTGTTTTCTCCTGTTTGCTGCAGGAATCGACAGCTGGATCAACCTGAACCGTGTCAATCCCGATGAGGAGGTGCAAGGGGAGATCTCTCTCGAGTTACAGGTGGTGGAGGAAGCCCACAAGGGGGCGCTTTGCTGCCATGTCATTGAAGCCAGGTAGAGGAAGTGGTCCTTGGATCTCTCTCCATGCGGGCCAGAGTGGGGGGAAAGATTCTCCTAGGGGGCCTCTCCAGGCAGTGAACGGGGTTGGCTTTCCACTTTCCTTTTGCCCTTCCCTTCCTTTTTGCCATCCATCCATCCATCCATCCATCCGTCCGTCCGTCCGTCCGTCCGTCCGTCCGTCCTTCTGTCTGTCCCTCTCTGTCTTGTTTTCT